TCAGCCCCTTATTTTCCTCAACAGAATGGTATAGCCGAAAGGAAAATAGAACTTTAAAAGATATGATGAATACTTTACTAATAAGTTCAGGGTTATCTGATAACATGTGGGGGGAAGCCATTATATCGTCAACTCATATCTTGAACCGAGTTCCTCATAAGAAATTAGATTCTACCCCATATGAATTATGGAAATGATACGCTCCTAATTTACAATACTTGAAAGTGTAGGGGTGTCTGGCTAAAGTGGGTTTGCCAGACTTTAAGAAGTCCACCATCGGACCTAAAACCGTTGATGCAGTGTTTATAGGGTATGCTATGAATAGTACTGCATATAGATTCATGCTTTTACAAGATTATTCTATTTGTGAGTCAAGGGATGCTGTTTTCTTTGAAAATACTTTTTCTTTAAAGGAACTGAGAATAAATATTGAAACACAAATAGAATATATTCCATCAACTTCTTCTAGTAATCCTGCTAGGTCTTCTGAACAAATTGTTTTTGAGCCTAAAATAAGTAAAAGGCAAAGAGTTGAAATCTCTTTTGGATCAGACTTTATTACTTTCTTTATTTCTGAAATAAATGATTTAGACTCAATTTCATATACTATATCTCAAATTTTTCTATTAATGATGAACTAGAATCGATAATGTCTAATCATACTTGGGAATTAGTTGACTTGCCTAAGGGATTCAAACCAATCTCCAACAAATGGGTCTTCCGAAAGAAACTAAGTCCAGATGGTTCGATTCAGTGGTACAAGGCAATGTTAGTCGTCAAAGGGTTCACTCAAAGGTTTGGTTTAGACTACTTTGATACATACTCTCCCGTTACAAAAATCTTAACGATTCATGCATTATTTGCACTAGCCTCTATTCATAAGTTGTAGGTACATCAAATGGATGTTAAGACTGATTTCTTGAATGAAGATCTAGATGAGGAGATTTACATGGAGCAACCACTAGGTTTTGAAGCACCTGGTATGGAAGGCAAAGTCTGTAGACTCAAAAAGTCACTCTATGGACTTAAGCATGCTCCTAAACAGTGGTATGAGAAATTTCATAAAACTATTCTTAGTTTTGGTTTTGTTATGAATGGTTCGAATGCTTGTGTGTATTCGAAGATGTTTGACACTGAATGTGTTATCATAAGTCTTTATGTTGATGACATGTTGATTTTCAGTTCTAACATTGAGTCCATTAACAAAGTTAAAAATTTCTTGTCCAATAAGTTTGAGATGACAGATTTGAGAGAAGTAGATGTAATCTTAGGAGTCAAAGTTACCAAAACTGAGAATGGATTTTCTTTATATCAAGCACATTATATAGAGAAAGTGCTAAAGAAATTTGATAGTTTTGATGTCGTCCCTGTTCGAACTCCTTATGACCCTAGTATACATCTAGTTAAGAATAAAGGAAGTAGCGTTTCCCAAATTGAATATGCTAAATTAATTGGGAGCTTAATGTTCTTAATGAACTATACTCGGCCTGATATTGCTTATGTTGTGAGTTGACTGAGTAGATATACTCATAATCCGAGTGGTGAGCACTGGATTGCTCTTAAACGCTTACTGAAGTATCTTAAGGGTACTTTGGATTGGAAACTTGAGTTTGTTAGCTTTCCTGCGGTACTAGAAGGATATTGTGATGCCAACTGGGTTTCTGATAATGATGAGGTAAGCTCTACGAGCGGGTATGTTTTTACTTTGAGTGGAGCAGTAATCTCGTGGAAATCATCAAAGCATACTTGTATTGCTCGTTCTACCATGGAGTCAGAGTTTATAGCTCTTGACCTAGCTGGGCAAGAAGTCGAGTGGCTCAGAAGCTTGTTAGAAGATATTCTGTTGTGGGGAAGACCGACTCCTCCAGTTTCATTATTGTGTGATTTACAAGCTGCGATATGTGTGGCTAAGAACCAAGCTTACAATGGTAAGAAAAGACACATTCGCATAAGACATGAATCAGTTAGACACTTAATAAAGAATGGAGTGCTCTCTTTAGAGTATGTGAAGTCGGAAAGGAACCTAGCAGATCCGCTTACCAAAGGGTTAAGTCGGAAGCTGGTCCTAGTTTCGTCGAGGGGGATGGATCTCAAGCCCATTGGTTGAGGAATTCATGGTGGATACCCAACTTAGTTATCTAAGTTCCATGTGGTCAAACGAAACCATGGAAAGACTCATAGTGCACATTCATACTTCTTATCCCTATGACGAATAATGTGCATACCCAGGATGAGCTTAAGTGCTCTTAATAAATTCATAGCCCAGGCTTTGGGTGGTCTTAGTGAGAAAGACTTGATGAATTTACCGATTTTGGCTGAATATCTATTCTTAATAAGTTCATAACCCAATTTGAGTGGGTATTCCTAAGTGAGAAGGAAATAATGAACTTACCAACAGAAATGTTGAGTTTGTTTAACTCTTAATAAATTCAAATCCAAGTATTTGGATGGTTCTAGTGAGAATGACTTATTGAATTTACCGATAAACGAGGTTGAATATTTATTCTTAATGACTTATTACCCAGAGTTTGGGTGGTTCATTTATAATGAACTTGAATAAAGTCACCATACTCTTTGTGAGGTTGAGCTTTTATAAAAGCTCTTAATTATTTCATATCCCTGTTAAGGGTGGTTTATATCGAGATAAACTTGATGAAATAACCTATGTAAGTGAGAAGGGTTAGCCGCCTTCTATGAAAAATGTTGGGCCATTTTTCTAGCACACTTACTAGAATCTTGAGGTAAGATGGCCAAATATATACTTTTGTATATATATATATATATATATATATCTTACACATCGAGGACTCAGGTGGATGAAGGGGTTAGTTGTATGTTATGAGTTTACCCCCATCTTAGAAAGTTCCAGACTAGTTTCACTTATCTAAGAGAAGGATTGCTCATTATCACTATGTACTAGTTCCAGATACGTTCACTAGTGCTTAAGCAACTAATCTCGCTATTGCTCTTCTGGAAAGTTTGTTTTCGAGTTTCAGAAGAATTCTTTCGCATTAGTGGGGGAATGTTTGTAATGCTCAATCCCACATAGTATTGGAAATACTATTGGGAATGGGTATTTATAGTTTGTATTTCCCACTTCCTTGTTAAGTGAAAGAGAACAAGGGGGACTCTCTGTCCGTCTCGTCTCGTCTTGGCTTGGCACGGCACGGCTCGGCTCGTGGTTGTGGTTGTGGTCGTGGTCGTGGTCGTGGTAATACGTGTCTTTGACATGTCCGCGCAGATACTATCTTTTTAGAGAAAATTCTTGAGGAATTTCTCTTTGAAAGAAACAAATGGAAAAATGTGAAAGATTTCAACTGATATTTATAGGCTGCTGATGACTATTTAAATTTAAATGATAACAGTTGGTTTATGAGAGTTATCAGAAATTAAACAACTTTTCCTAAATTAAATCAAAAATGTTAAGATGTATCTGGACTGATTTCTAACTTTGTACAAAGGGGACAAGCTGTTAATATCAGGAGTTACAGGAGTTATTTGATTTAATTCCAGGGGTTACATGATATAATTTCGGGAGTTATAACAGCTGAAATAATGATGCAAAGAACCTGGACTATTTCTGAGTCAGGTTTATCTAGGCGTTTCAGCTGTTACAAAGAAGAGATTTAATCTTGAAATTTTATGGATGATTTTAACCCTATTTCTAGCCTACAAATAGAGAGTTATATTCAGCTTCTCAACTCACTCTCAACATTCAGAATTCACTCTCCAAGTGTTTTCTAAATATTCTCTTTGTGTGCTTTCCGATATGAAGAGCAATACCACCAATAGTCCACTCAAATTTTGGGTGTACGAAATTCGGAGCGACCTTGTTAACCTCGGGGAACGGTGCACCTACTGCAGCGATTACACACATCGGGACTAATTCGTTTCTAAGGTAGTGTTTATACCACGACACGGTTTACCAATCTATTCTTTTTCAATTACTGTTTATCTTTCCTGTCAGTGCTAACGGTGTGGTTTTGCAGTCTATTTTACCAACAGTAACATACCATCGTATTAAATTTGAATATGTGATTTGATTATAATTTATGATTGTTAATGATCTTTCAATAATTTAATTCATTATTATAGTTTGTTTGTCGATATAATCATATCTGGTTGTATTTATATTTTACTTGAATTTTTTGGATGAATTCTTAATCTTTTCCTTATATGATCATATACAATCACAAGTGGTTGAACTTTGACATCAATAATTATAAAAGCTGTCCTGATTATATGTTTAGTTTATCAAAACATGAATGATAAAATCAAGAGATAATGCATATTTGGCATTCATCCCTACTATATATATATATATATATATAATCATCCAAACATTGAGAGAAAAATGAGAACAAAAATCATAAAAAAATAAAAAATATATATATTAAACCTAAAGATACAAAAAAATGAAATATTTCATTAAAAATGACAAATAACATTAAAAGAACCTAGTAACCTTTATAAAACTTATTGTCTATGTGGAACAAGAAGCTTTGCGAAGTGACAAAAGAATGGTGAACGAACCAAACTATCTTACAAACGGCTTCGCTACACAATTTTGATTATATCAACAAATAGCCTTTTTATCAAAGACAATATTTGGTTATATGTGACCATCAACAAACCAAACTAATCAGAAAACAAATGTGGTGAGTGTATTTGTGAGAGCATCAAAACAACCGTAAATATATGCAAAAACGTATCAAAAGCCATAAAGATTATACCACAAGAACAGAGAAAACGTGTACCACAAAAGTATAAAAAAATATATCATAAAGACAAATATCATTTTTTCAAAATTTAAAATTATTCAAGAAAAAAGAAAAACAAAAGACATAGTATAAAAACAATAGAACTAATAATCTCAATCAACATTAAGACCGATATCTTTGTCAACTAAAAAATTAAATAAAGACGAAAAAATATTGAGAAAAAATCTCCCTAATTATATATATATTTTTAAAAAAAATTACAATTAAGTTTATCGCGTACAAATTTATTCAAACATAATGTCTAAACCCTTAAAAAACACAATCAAGAGCTACCAACAATTAATAGATAACTAAGGATAAGGATAAGCTTCATGGTGACAGATTATCTTCAAATTAATAATTTACATGAAATGAAAAACTAGTTAAACACTTAAAACGGTACCCCACAATTCATTCATTGTTTTTCTTCAACCACAGAATGTGATAATCAAGCTTGGAAGCAGTAGAGTTGCAAAGGAGATGAAACCATGCAGCCTTAAACCTCCGTCACTGTAGTCAGTGTTGATCCCGATTCCGGAAGGGCCTAAGCCGGTGCCGGCTCCTCCCAACACTCCTACTGGTGTTGTTGAACCGTACGGTGTCGTTGTGCTTGTTGGGGTGGTTGTGCCTGGGATCATGGTCGAGGGAGTTGTGTTGGTCGTGGTGCCTGCGGCACTGATTCAAACCCCAAAAAAGTTGACAAATATTTCCCAAAAGCAAAGAATCATACAAGAATTAACAATGCATATCACAAAACAATGAATTCTTTAGCCCTAAACCCATCAATTGTGAAACATCCATGAACTTTAACCTAGTTTTTATTATAAATATATGTGTTGGTATTTGGTAATGGATTTGTGACGGATTTATGTTGAAGGCTCATGAACCAAGGAAAGCTTAAAGTGGTAAGAGGTAAAAAGGAGATAGGGGAGTGATCTTTTAATCCGAAATTAAGTCGAAAGTTTTTTCTTTCTTTGAATAGCATGGGTGATTACAAGGTGATATCTATTTAGAATTTTCTTAACCAATTCACAACTTACATGACACCTAACAGATAAACAACCCAAAAGTTTTAGGGAGAACAACTTTCCTTTTTATCACTAAATTCTCATTAAAGATCATTCAATGAGTTCTTAAGTCAAAAGTTCGGATTTAGGAGAGTATAATAAACACCATAACTATATGGGAAAATGCTTACCTGACACTAGATGGGAAAGCACACCCTGCAAAGCCTATAACAAAAATAATTAACAACATAACACAGATTAATTTGAAATCAATATCTAACAATTAAGTTATTTATACTTCTAAGATAAAAGGTAAACGCAGGAAGTAGAGATAAGGGAAATTACTAGGGTCAGAAGGAGAGACAATGGCAGTGCCAGCAAAATCACAAGAGCCTACAGCCTGGCCTTTCCTTTGGAAATAACTGTTGACGGCATAATTGCAGTGAGCTCTAACAGTGTTGGGGTTGAAACAGGGGCCATTGGAATGGATAGGGTTACAATCAGCTCCAGCTCCACATGCATAATCCAATGTCTTCTGCAACATTGCATCCCCCACTCCATCTTTGCATATACACCATGTTGCACCTGTCCCCATGAAAATGCAGATAAAATTAGTCACTTTTACTTGACCATTGAACAAAAGAGGGTTTATTCTGGGGAAAAAAGAGCTGACTCGAGGTGCCTGTGACGGCCAAAATGAGCAGTGCAAACACAAAGGCAGACATGGGAGAGTACTGTGGGGAGGAAAGGGTATTAGATAAGAGAAATGGAAGTCGCTCACTCTCAGTGGTATGAAACAAGGAGAGAGTAAATGGTGGGATCATTTGGTATCAGTGGTGTCATATGTTTGATGTCTCCTTCTGCAGTGCATTTTTGTTCTTTTTCATCCATATTTATTTCTTGAAATTTCTTTTTACTGGATTTCATAATATGGTTTTATAATTCTTTTATAAAACCAGAAAAATAGAAAATGATATAAAAGTGAGTCAGCTATGAGTCATCACTCACCGACCACCTCCATGAGTCATCACTCACCCTAAGTGGACCCTAACTAGAGATAGGCTGGCAGTGGCAGTGGTGGCCATCACAAGTGTTTAAACTTTGCCAAAAATGATATGACGAGTCCTTTGAATTCCATCATTTACTGCTCCGTTTCCTTTTGTTCGAATTCAGAAGGTGAATACAGCCTTTCAGGTGGTCACGGTTCACCCCTCTATTCCATTTTTCTTCTCTTTTTTTATCAAATGTTAAAATTCATGGTTGAGAGTGTTTGTCGGTAAAGAAAATCCAAGAAAGATCAATGAAAAAATTGACAAATTGGAGAGGAAGAAAATGATTCTGGTCATCGAAAATTTACTCGTTAACCCTTTTGAATTTATTCAGAGTATGCAGTCAACGTTCTTACCAAGTGTTGCAAACATTTTGATGCAGAGGTTTACCGCATCAAAGAACCCAGCATCTCAGAGTAATATGCATTGTCCAACACAAAATCTTGTTCCTGCATTGTCCAACACAAAATCTTGTTACCGATTTGAATCAAATTATTTTGAGTTCAAGCTAATTTAAGTTTAAGTCGGGCAAATTCATGTTGTTGGCTCGAGTTGGATTTATAGATTTGAATCAAAACTGATAAGTGTATTTGAGAATCATATATAGAACATAATCGACAATTATTAGACATCAAATGCTTCAATCAGAGGAAATGAGAAAAACACAACCTACCAGCTACAGAAGCATATCCAATAGCAGCCAGACGAGAACCAAATAGTGCCCATATCATTGTGATGGGCTGAATACTTTTGTAATACTCAATTTACCATTAATAAAAGAAGCAGTTTATTTTCTCAAAACTATTCTATCTTGATACTTTAGATTGAAGCCCTTAATGGCCGTCTCTTGCTTTACCTTGGACTGCTGCCGCTCGGCAGCATCCGACCACCGTGTCGAGCTTTTTCAACATCATCAAAGAAGAGTGGGACTCCAAATCCAAATATATAGATAGCCTGCAAAATGATGATTATACAAGAAACAAGGCTGAAAATAGCAGCACAAATGAAAGTCGATATGATGATTAGCACAACAGTTCACAAAATGGTCTGTGTGAAGTATACCTTGAGATGTTACCTATTGAGGAACGGTTCACAAAAGAACAACTACCACAAAATTGAACATTGTACACTGATATTGAGAAGTTACCATGAGAAGCATATCAACAGCAACGATGATCCCTGAGATGGGAAAATACGTGCTAAAGCTTCCCGCCTACCGCCCACTCACGTAACTCTCCTGAAGTAACGAACCGACCGAGCTGATCTCTAAACATAACAACCCAGAGGATGTTAATAGTGACAGAAAATTCCGAGCAACCTCCTTTTCATTACCACATTGCCGTGACTCTTCATTAATCAAGTTTAACAATCAGAAACTAATAGGAACCAGCTCCAAATCATATTTTCAAGTTCAAACAGAGTGAAACAACAAACATTTTTTCATGTATTTGGAGAGTTATATCCCCGATCCATATATATCTGGACATGCATTAGACACAGATACTTCATGTAAAACAAAGAATTCCAGAGTAACAGAGCATCAGATAGTACTCCATTTGATTGTTACTTTTCTATTTGCATTTTACTTGAAGATTACTAAATCAGAAAGCTAAACAAAACCAACAAAATCAAATTCAATCAGAACTTACAAAACGCAAGGCTTATTCACAATCTTCTGCCTTGTCATTATTCCTTGATAAATTATCAATTTTCTTTTACAAAATCGGAGATATACCTGAAAAGAACACCAAGCGAGGTTAAGTCCGGCAGCAAGCCAGAGAAGGGCATAATAGGAAATCACGACGACCTTCCCTTTCTCCGCTTCTCAACGTTTGCTTAGCGTTCATCGCTAGGTACACCACGAAGAAGCACCGGACCAACCAGAAGGGCGTCGTACCAGAACCTGCACGTTGATTTCGGGGATCAGGGGCTGGAAAATTTAAGGACTTGTGATTATTTGGTGGATGGTGCTAGGCAATCATAAATTGAAAATCGGAGATTTGATCAACCACCTTGACGATTGTCAGTAAGATTTCAACCACTTCTAAATGGAGTTTCAATTTGTATAGATTAGTGCACTTTGCTGAATTTAAAATTTTGGTGATGAAATTAAAACTGTTGAAGTTGAGTAATCAAAATAAAATCATAACCAAAACTGAATGACCAAAAAGTGTAGTTTATTATTAACATGAACTTTGCAAACTCGAAAGGGTTCTATAATGAACCCTTCAACACCTTAAAACCCCAGAAAGGGAGAAAATACACTTCAAATTTGGACCCAAAACAAACAAACAAAAGCAAACACGCTTCATGCTTTACATATCCATCTCATCAGCTTCATCATCATCATCCATCTCTTCAACCTTCATCTTCTGCACGGCCTGCACGGCGGCATCACTTGTTGGCCCATTTGGGATCTGGATCAACACCTCAGATTTTTGGCCGGTGGCACCGTTAACCAAACCTCCATTTTTCTCCACACGATACACCAATTCGTTTCCTTTAGGACTGGCATCTATGTAAACCGTGGAGTTCTCGTCAATTTCCTCTTTCACCAACATCCTCGACAGCTCCGTTACCACCCTCTTCTCCAGCCATCTCCTTATTGGTCTTGCACCATATACCTATATCAACAAAGTTATCAACATCTTCGCCAACACAAAAGTTTTAACATATTAGACTGAATCAATATATAACATGCATGATGGTACTTACCGGATCATAACTCTCTGCTAATATGTAGTCCAGAGCTGCATCTGTTACAGCCAATGCAATACCTCGCTCGGCAAGCCGGCTTGCAACATCCTTCATTTGTAGTCTAGCAACTTTCCTCAATTGGTCATGCGACAGTGGATCAAAGACTACGATCTCATCCAGCCTGTTCAGCAACTCCGGCTTAAAGTGTTTTCGAACCTGTTGAACCACAAAACACAAAACATGTTTCTTCAAATGCTTCAAAATCAAACTTGGGTATGGTGCAAATATTGAGAATTTGTTCATTTAATTACCTCCTGCATTACTCGGTCGCGTGCGACTTGCATAGAACATTTTCCGCTAAGCCCCGATAGAAGATGTTCCGCTCCAAGATTTGATGTCATGATGATCACTGTGTTTCTAAAGTCAACAGTGCGGCCTTGACCATCGGTTAATCGACCATCATCCAGGACTTGGAGTAAAGTGTTGAAGACGGAGATATGTGCTTTCTCGACTTCATCGAAAAGCACAACGCTGTACGGCCTCCGCCTTACAGCCTCAGTAAGTTGCCCACCTTCCTCGTATCCAACGTACCTGATAAACAAAAAAAAAACGAAAAGATATGTTAGTTACTACTGTATGATCACATTCAAATGGAGCATAGCATGTACAAGAAGCATCAGCATACCCCGGTGGTGCACCGATAAGTCGAGCAACCGAGTGTTGCTCCATATACTCAGACATGTCGATCCTGATGAGCTGGTTCTCATCATCAAAGAGTTGTTCTGCTAGTGCCTTAGCAAGCTCCGTCTTTCCGACACCAGTTGGACCCAAGAAAAGGAACGAGCCTGTCGGTTGTTGAGGTCGTCCTAGTCCAGCTCTTGACCTCAAAACAGCCTCTGCAACAGCATCGACTGCTTGGTTTTGTCCCACCACTCTTTGATGCAGCCTCTCTGCAAGCCCAATCAGCCTCTCTTTCTCATTCTGTCCGAGCCTCGTGACAGGAATACCGGTCCAGCGGCTTACAACCTCTGCAATATGTTCAGGTCTAACCGTTTCCGTTAACATGACATTCTCATCTGTGTTATCTGAGTTCCCTTCAAGCTGCGCTATTGCAGATTCAACTTCCTGAATCGCTCCATATCTCAAATCCGCAGCTCTCGCCAGATCATATCGTCTTTCAGCCTCCTGCAATGCAAACATGAGCTCTTCTCTCTTCTGTTTCAATCGCCGGATCTCATCAACCCTTTGTTTCTCCTTCCTATACTTCATCATCAGTGGCTGAAGCTTGTCCCGCAAGTCATCAAGCTCTTTCCGAACCTAGACCAAAGGAACACAAGTTAGATCCAATAACCTAAGCAAATTAACATAATAAACTACTTTTACGATAGTAAACACATACTTCGACCAGTCGAGCTTTGCTCGCTTTATCCTTCTCCTTCTCCAAGGCATGCAGCTCGACTTCTAATTGCATTCGTTTCCTTTCAAGATTATCGATCTCTTCGGGCTGACTGTCGAGCTGAACTCTCACATTTGCACAAGCTTCATCGACTAAGTCGATAGCCTTGTCCGGAAGATGGCGTCCTGAATTGAACAAACAATACAATGCAAATAAGTATCATGTAGGAACTTCAATAGCAGAAAATAACAAATATTGATAAGGTGAACCCTAGAGCTCGAAATGTGGCGAGGAAATGTACTATATACCAGTAATGTAGCGACTTGACAACTGCGCTGCCACCACTATGGCTCGGTCTTGAATGCGAACACCATGGTGACCCTCGTATCTTTCTTTCAGCCCTCGAAGGATGCTGACAGTATCTGCAACACTCGGCTCAGCTACATAAACCTGTTGGAACCTTCGTTCAAATGCGGCATCCTTTTCAACATACTTCCTATATTCCTCAAGTGTTGTGGCACCGATGCATCGAAGTTGACCCCGAGCAAGCATAGGCTTAAAGAGGTTAGCCGCATCCATGGAACCCTCAGTTCGACCGGCACCGAGCACTAAATGGATTTCATCGATGAAGAGAATCACTTTTCCTTCGGCTTCCTCGACTTCTTTCAACACAGCCTTCAATCTTTCCTCGAATTCACCACGATATTTCGCTCCGGCAACCAATGCACCCATGTCCAACGCAATAACTCTCACATCGCTGAGATTACTAGGAACATCCCCTCTCACAATTCTTTGAGCCAAACCCTCTACAACTGCAGTTTTACCGACACCAGGTTCCCCGATAAGAACCGGATTGTTCTTAGTTCTCCTCGAGAGGATTCGGACAACCCTTCGGATTTCCTCGTCTCGACCAATAACTGGATCAAGTTTGCCTGCCTGCTCTACAAGATCCCGGCCGTAGGTCTTTAAAGCTTGAAATGTAGTGTCCCCTGAAGCACTCTCCACCTTCTTCCCTTCCTTTCCTCGAAGCTTTTCGACTTCGGATTTCACTCTGGCCGGAGCAACACCGGTTTCCTTTATCAAATCAGCTATCTGGGAATCTTCGAGAAGGCCAATAATCAACTGATCAACAGCCAAATAAGAGTCTCCGTGGGCCTTCTGTGCCGCCTGGGCTCGACGGATTACCTTAATAAGTGAAGTACTCGCGGGGATTTCATCCGGGGCAGGTGACTGTGATGGTAGCTTCTTCAACGCCTGATTGAACACCCTCTCGGCGGCTTGCGCTGCGCTTTCACCGCCGGCATTGGATATGGATTGAGGGAAAACGCCACTGGGATCGGAGATTAAAGAAAAGGCAAGATGGAGAGGTGTGAATTGAGCGTGGCCGTTGCTCATCGCTAGCTCGTGAGCAGAGGCAAGAGCCTCATTTGTCTTGTGTGTAAACTTCTCGGGATTCATTGTCGATATGAAGATTGATGGATATACTTGAGTTGAAATGTGAAAACAGGGAGTTTCTGTTGTTTTTTCCTGGAAAAAAAATCTGTTCGGGTACTCGAGAATTGGAATGCTTTGTAAAGGTGAGAATTGATGATTTCAATTGAGAAATTGTGAGGAAGGAGAGAGGAGGAGAGTGGGTTTTTGTAAGAGTGGAAGACATGAGTCTGGAATATGATAGTTGTTGCTAGAAACTACTGGACAACGGTTAGTCGATGAGCCGAACATCCTCGATTTCTCTATTGTTATTCCACTCGCTTTCCTAAGATCTTTGTCTTCACACGCCTCATAGAAAGCGTTAATTTCACTATAATTTACTTAAGAGTAAATTATATATTTAGTCACTATTTTTCATACAGTTTTATTTTAGTCACTCAATTATTTTTTAAAAATCATATCTAACGTTATGTTTTGATCATCTAATATTAAAAAATAACGATAATAATAATGCGTCACCATAGGATAATGACATATTATCATTGAAAAAAATAAATAAATAATTTTTATGTCAATAGTTTTATTTATTTTTAATGAAGGGTAACCAAAAATCACTATATATGATTTTGAAAACAATAGTTGAGTGATCGAAACGGAACTGTAAGAATAATTGTGTGACTAAATACATAGTTTATCCTTTATTTAATCACTAATAAGTTTATAAATAGATATTAAATTTTAGAAAATTATAATTAAATCACTCAATTAATTGATTGTGATAATTATGTTTTTTCTCGTTAAATAATAAATAATAATTTTGATGAGGAATATTTAAATAAAAATATTCATATGTTCTAAAATATTAAGTCGAATCTTTTAAATAAAAAATATTCATATGTTTAATTATTTTTAAAACAATAATTTTAGTTAAATCTATTGAACTTTTAGACTTATTATATTATAGTGATCATATTGTTACACTTAGATAAATTTAAAACTTTTTATAACTTTTGAAAACTTAATAGTTAAATGATCATTTGAGCATAATTTAGTGACATTTGATATACTTTACTTTTGTTATTTATTATCATTAAGGGTAAATTATAAATTTCATCAATCAGCTTTCTTCTCATTCCCAATTTGATCATTGAAGCTTAAAAAATATTAAATTTATTCATTAAACCTTCAATGTACTTCTATTTTGGTCAATCATATATTAAATCATAAATGGAAGGTGATATGGAAGCTATATATTTTTATTAACATATAATCCATGTGTCATGCACATCATTTTTCATTTTTTTCCTTTTTTTAATTGTATTCCTCCAAAGATGACAGTCATGCAATTGCATCTTCATGTCACGTCGACTTTGTAATTACTATTATTTGATGTCTTCTTTGATAACTCATGATATTGACAAACTCGTCTCATTATCTCTTATCACTCTATCGATTTAGATTTTACCTAAATTACTTTAAGACTCATAAAACAATCTTAAACCCATAACTCTTAAAATCCTAAACCACTATGATATATATCCACCATTCATTCACCATAAATTAAAATATACAACTCGTTTCCTCTTTCTACACTTCTCTATTTTGATTTGGAAGATGTTTTGTTATCGAAAAATCGAAAGAAGTTTAAAACTAGAATATATAATGATAAAAATGAATGATCAAAGTAGAAGCAAATAAAAGAATTAAGTAAGTAAAATTAAATTTTTTAAAATTTAATGATAAAAATGAAATAAAGTTAAGTGGTGTAATTTTTAATTTACCCTATTATTAATCAGAATGAAACAGTTCCCAAAAGATAAAATAATATATATTGAAGTTGTCTAGATATTATTCCACGTGCTGTTTCCTACACGTGTCATGCAGCTGATAATTTACTATCCAATATCCTATACGCTTCCCTATACACGCTGCAAGACACGCGCTGTTCAGATCGGTTGCCATTTTCTATATTTAAAAACTCAAAATAGTTTAAGGGGAAGTCTGAGGCCAATTTTACTTAAAAAGTACTTTATTATTTATCGAAATAACACTCAATTGTCATTATTTATTAAAACATCAACTATTTGAATAAAGCACATTTTACAAAGTATTGTTTACGCGTATGTGATAAAGATGTTTTTTTTTTATAAAAGGCATATTATGCTGTTTGGGCACCCGTGTAAAACACATTTAATAAAATGCACTTTGAAAAATTTTAAAAATTAAATTAAAAAAACCAAATATGTAATTAGATATATATTGGCTACATGAGTTAAAAAGAGTAATGGTGCTAATTTATACAGGCGTAAATAGAGTGTTTAAGGCTTTCTTTGTTAACAATATATGATAAAAACTAAAATGGGTTCTTTACTTCTTTCTCGTATTATTTTATTAAATTTTATTATTAAAATATATATAAATTAAAATTTAATATTTTAGTATTTTAAATATCTTATAAATTACGAATAAAATTTATTAAAATTTTTGTATAAATATTTAATTGTTATAATATTCTATAGTTACTAGTAAATTATTATAATATAATTATTTAGTTTTGATGTATTAAGAAGAATATTTCAAAAAATAAAAATGAAATGATCTAATGAATTTAAATTTTAACAAATTTATTTTTATTAAAAGTTGTTTTTCTTTATATTTGGCGTGACAATATATCAATTCATATTTTCATATAGGACTCAACTTAAATTATAAATATGAATTTTCAATTTCAAACTGAATTTGATGACGTCTTGTAAAAGATATTATAAAATATATAATTATTTATTTAATTTAAATCGTAAATATAGAAAAAATTTAAAGTGATCTGATTACAAAAAAAAAAAACTGAATATAATTGTCTTATCTTATAACCTAAATAATATATTATATGATAAATTATATTATAATTGTACTAAAAAATTATATAAACAATAATAGATTCAGACTAACGAGAGGTAATAGAGGATTTCTTCGATGAAAGAGTTCAATTATTTTTTATTTTTTAAGATATTCTTTAAATCTTTTATTGTTTTTTAAAAATTATTTTTACATTATTTTTCTTTATTTTTTTAAAAATATTCTTAAATTTTTTATTTTTTTTAAAAAATATTATTCTTAAAATATTTTTATTTTAATATTTAATAATTTATTATTTTGTAACTTGTGATATTTCTTAGTTTTTATTTTTTTAATTTTAATAGTATTTTGGTATTTATTAATTTTTAAACAATTTTATATTTATTTAGAATATGTTTTAACTTATAATTAATTTTATTTATTTATTTCAAAAATTTAAATTGTTTTTAATTTAAAATCACATTTAATACAAAATAAATTTAAAGAGTATATTATTTTTGTTTTCAAAAGTTGTAATGCCTCCCGTACCAGTAACACTATTTCATATTTTTTTTTATTAAAAAAAGTAATTTGAAGGAGCTATAATTGAATTGAATTTCCTTTTTTCTTAAAAAAAATGATTTCGTTTTATGTACGCTGGTCGAATCTTTGAAAGCTTGAGATTTGGTGCTTTTTTTCTTTCTCATTTTTTAATTCATGCTTTTCGGTTCTCGATTTCTCCACACGGATCAATACTTGGCTCTAGGGTTTTCTCTCTGTGATTTCATCGATCTTTCTTTCGTATTGGCCGCTTATTGTAAGTCTTAACCTTCCTTTTTTTTTCTTTTTTTGAATAATTTGTTTCTTATCGTTCATGTTTGTTTGGTAAAGTCATTCATTATCTGATTCATTGTTTGTTTGCTTAGGGAAAATTTTCAGGTTTACTTCACTGCCAAGTTTTTTTTATTTTATTCGCGATCCTAAAAATAGTTCTGCGTTTTAGCTGTTTTAATTTCACTATGTTCTCTCGGTAGCCGAACAGTGCATTGCATTTGCGTACATCACGTGATCAATCGAACTGATTTTCCGCTCTTTGCTTTTATATTGTAGAATTCAATTTGATGTCCTTTTTGATTTTATGCATTATAAATCACTTGTTCTAGAAATTTATTCTTACTTATTTTGCAGGTTATTTGGATTAGCGGCACTGGAGTTTCCCTTCTTCGCTCTGATCAAGGCACTGGGGTTTCTGTATTACTTGGATACTGGTGATTTGGATTAGCGGCTTTTCTCTATATAGGTTATTTATTCTTTGAGGAAGAAAAAAAGGGCGCTTGGAGGATAGCTGTGAGACTAGAAGTGAACCTGATGAGATTGTGTAACAAGTACTGATATGGATAATGACATGGATCTTGATTTCTATAGTTAACATATAGCTTGTTTTTCCTTTTTTCGGGTAAGGAGTCTTGGTATTGATATTTATATTCGGTGACTAGCGGCTGTGGTGTTTGTTAGCCACATTAGAATGCAATAATATAAGTTTGAAGATGGATGAAGAACGAATGTTGCATCCCAGTTGGATGGGCAAAAATCCAGCCGAAATGGCGGCTGATTCACAGTTCTTCATTTTCTCTTGTGTTATTGCTGGCCTAGTTGGTATTTTAACTATAGTTTATACAGCTTTCCAGTGGAGAAGAAATATAAACTTAAGTTGGATGAAAGCTGTAGCCAGGTCGAAGAAAAACCCTAAGGCCAAGCATAAGGTTCCTGTGGCTCCTCATACTTGGGAGTTGGAATCTGTATCCCGCGCAAAGAATTTAAATTGCTGTGCTTGCTTAAAGCCAATGTCTCCTTCTCAAACCCTAGGGCCTATGATTTCTTCAGATAGTTTCATTCACCGTTGTAGCATCTGTGGCACAGTGGCTCACTTGAGCTGCTCTTCGAGTGCACACAAGGATTGCAAGTGTGTATCTATGATTGGCTTTGATCATGTGATGCATCAGTGGGCAGTTCGATGGGCAGATCTTACTGATCAACCTGATGAAGCTTCATTTTGTAGCTATTGTGACGAGTCATGTAGCGGGTCTTTCCTTGGTGGATCTCCTATATGGTTTTGCTTGTGGTGCCAACGACTCCTACACGTGGACTGTCACAGTAGTATGTCTAACGAAACTGGTGATATTTGTGATTTAGGTCCATTTAGAAGGCTGATTCTCTCACCTCTTTACGTGAAGGAGTTGAGTCCCAATTCTGGATTTCTTAGCTCTCTCACACATGGTGCAAATGAGCTTGCTTCTTCAGTACGGGCCACCATTAGGAGTCAGAGCAAGAAGCAGCGGCATAATAGTGAAACATCTTTCGATACAGGTAGTAACAACAGCTTCTGCGACATAGCCACAGAGAGTACTGCCGATATCCAAGAAAATATAAATGGTTCTCATGCAATTGAAGAGAACTGCAACGGTGGCATGAATCCGGGAACCCCACGCCTGAATGGTGGCATTGATAAGAACGTTGAGAAAAAGCCTAGTTTCAAAAGAAGTGGATCGATTAACCAGAAAGACGAGTCTCATGCATTAAGGATGAAGCAGAAATATGAGCTGGTTGATCTGCCACCAGATGCAAAACCATTACTAGTCTTCGTCAACAAGAAGAGTGGCGCACAGCGTGGAGATTCCCTTAAGCAGCGCTTGAACCTTCTTTTGAATCCTGTTCAGGTTTGATTGTCTAGCCATGAAGTGTGTTTTTTCTATTTCATTTTACTTATTGGTGGTGGTGGGTAGCTGTGTAGGAGTAACTCTGGGCTAAAAAGGAAAATGAAAACTTCCACTTTCCTGACATTTTGTTAGGCTTAAAACTGATGAGATTAATTTATACCTCCATGTTTTTTTGGAACAGTTATGAATTATATGTGATCTAAGCTCGAGAGGTAATTAGTATCCTACAGATGACAAAGACTAACATGCAAGCTAAACTTGATAACATATAGCATTTTATAATAATTAAAATCAGAGCCATCACTCTGTTTCTGTTTATAAGCCTGTTAAAACGTATGCACTTGGATGTAGAAGAGTATCCAAAATAGCCTCCCAAGGTGGTGGTGTGACAATTTTCGAAATTTTTGCTATATCAGACTAGAGTATATCAGCAAAGAAAATTGAGAAAGCAAATATCTGTAACTGCACACAGCTACCACTTGGCCAGGAATGACTTTCCCCAAATTCTTGTAAAAGATAAAAGACATACTTTTGAGTGTCTTAATAAAGTAATAACTTTATACAGTTATACTGTATTACTCCACTTGGATTGGCATTTTTATGTTTTAGCTGACTACCTGACTCTGAATTTAGCTTTGGTTCTTAACTTTTACCGTTGTGAATATGTTTTCCAGTTTGGTGTTTTGTGAGGGCTTCTCATTAAAATGATCACTGTTTGGTTTTACATTTTGCTGTTTTTGAGGTACTTTTCTTATCAAAATTTTGTCGCAGGTTTTTGAACTAAGTTCAACACAGGGACCAGAAATGGGACTTTTTTTATTCAGAAAGGTGCCTCACTTGAGAATACTTGTATGTGGGGGAGATGGAACTGTTGGATGGGTTCTTAATGCTGTAGACAAGCAGAATTTTGTTTCTCCGCCACCAGTTGCGATTCTCCCTGCTGGAACTGGAAATGATCTTGCCAGGGTTCTATCGTGGGGAGGTGGCTTGGGCTCAGTGGAGAGACAAGGAGGCCTTTGCACAGTGTTGCAAGAAATAGAGCATGCTGCAGTGACCATCCTTGACCGCTGGAAAGTGGCTATTCTGAACCAGCAGGGGAAGCAACTTCAACCTCCAAAGTTTATGAACAACTATCTTGGTATGCGGACTAGTTCTTCTATAATCTGGTTAACTTGAATGTCTACGTTGTGAACTTGTAATTTGAACTCCCAAAGAGGGAAAGCAATTGCAAGATGAAGAGAATCTGATTTCTGTGACAGCTGTTTTTTTACTTGGGTTTCTACTTAGCTTCAAGTTGAACTCTCTTATATTAGTAAATATCTGCTGTGATACCCCTGAAATACCCAAAATCTTGGATCAAACTTGATGCTTGGCATTTAAGCTGGCTGATGAGTAGTTTTTAGTTTGTCCAATTATCTTGGTTAAATCAGTGCATTGGTATTTCAAACGTCTTACTACTTCCGTAACTTGGTAGTATTCTCCTTGATTATGATTCTCTCACAGGAATTGGTTGTGATGCAAAGGTTGCTTTGGATATTCACAACTTAAGAGAGGAGAATCCAGAGAAGTTCTATAATCAGGTAGCTATGATCTTTTTGCGTTATGCATTTTGAAATGCCATGCAAAATGAACAGTGGCAGTTGATTGGTAATTATTTAGTTTCTTCAACCTAATGGATTTTTTAATTTCAGGCTTCTTGGTTATGATAATTTTGGACTTTCTGGTCTTCAGGCCTGCATATTTGTGAACTCATGGATTTAGGAGTATCCATGTATATAAATAAAATCATGGCAATTGAACTTATATTTCTTACTCCACTACATTTTTTTTCTATAAATATTACTTACAATTTAAAGTGTCAACATTTTATTGCTTGATTCTTACCTGATTATGAAACTCTTGTCCGTTGATAATGAAACATTGTTGTGTGTTTTTATGCAGATCCTCCCACTTTTTCACCTTTGTTTGAATTTATTGATCTGCATAGATGATAAAAGTGTAAACCAGAAGGTTGTGAATAATGTATTAGCTTCGAAGTATATAAAGAAAATAAAATTAGAAATATTGTATTTTTAATAACTTTTGCATGTCCTAATGATCTTATATCATTTAATTATTCAATTCCATCTTGCTGAAGAATCCTCAAAATACCTGCAGTTTATGAATAAAGTGCTTTATGCAAGAGAAGGTGCTAAGAGTATCATGGATAGGACATTTGCAGATTTTCCTTGGCAAGTTAGAGTAGAGGTGGATGGTGTCGAAATAGAAGTTCCTGAGGTATGGATGCTAGCATTTATTTTGTTACACTTGCAAAAATATGGATAATTATGTTTTGATTGTTCGGAAGAGTTTGTCTTAAATCTTGCATATTTTTTGAGCTTTTGAAAGAGTTTTAAATTGGAAGAATAGCTACACATAGTTCTCTTGGGTTTATTGGTCCAGCCTCTTTCAAACTTGTTTTCGGTTATTTGACTCTTCTTTGTTTCTTTTACCGTGAGAAAGTTCTCTTTTGTTTCCTAATTGTTTATACATCGACATCGACAATGGCGGAATCAAAAATTTAGATTGTGGTGTCAAAAAGTTTGAGTAAATAACTATTTGGTTTTAACGCTGTAAAATTTATGATGTTGCTCTAAACCTACATAGGATGCAGAAGGTGTACTTGTTGCAAACATCGGAAGCTACATGGGGGGTGTTGATCTTTGGCATAATGAGGATGATACGTATGATAATTTCAATCCTCAGTCAATGCATGATAAAGTACTGGAGGTTGTCAGCATATCTGGGACCTGGCACCTCGGAAAACTGCAGGTAATATAGTTCTTGATGAAGGCTAAGCTAATAATTTAGTATAAACTTACCATGCATTTGAAGGAATGTGAAAACAAGTTCCTTCTAGTTTGATCCAATGTCCTAAAGAACTTTGTTCTGTCCCAGCATAACGCTGGTCTGCTTTTGTCATTTTTCTTTTATACTGGCGAGTAAAGCATCAAATTGCCTTTGGTCAAATTCTTAGAAGGTTCTTGCACTAGTTGTTTTTGAAGGATTTCATCCCTCTACTATAATTGATCATTTCCAGTCCCCCTATTTCTCAAAATGTGAATTTTCAGTCTTGAGGTTAATTTTTTATTGGTAATTTTATCAAATATTTGACTTGGCTTTTTTAATACACCTTGAATTTTTTTGTGCAAATGGACAGATATTTTGCAAAATGTTTATAAGACAAAAAAGGTATAATATATGTTCGACTGTTCAAAAAATGCCGAGTTATATATTTCACGTCATCACATGTATAACAAAAGTAACGGAATTAGCAGCAAAAAAGCCAGCCTTGGGACTGAGAATACACATTTTGATTTTTGAGCAGAGGGACTAGAGATGATCAAATTATTGTAGACTAAATTCGCCCAAAAATATAGTAACGATCCATCAATTCAATACGACCAATTGTCTTCCATCCAAGTTTTCGTGTTTTTAGTCATAGAAATTTGGAATTGAAGTTTTTGTTATGGAGAATATCTGAGTTGTGCTACTTTGAGTTATTGACAGGTGGGGTTGTCTCGCGCTCGAAGACTTGCACAGGGACATTCGATTAAGATACAACTCTTTGCCGCATTGCCTGTTCAAATTGATGGAGAACCTTGGTTTCAGCAGCCTTGCACATTGTCGATTTCACATCATGGACAGGTTTTCTTTCTCTCTCTCTCTTGATGATATATTTTTTCGTGTTTGCTATACCATTGCAGCCCCGGTTCCTTGTTTTAACAAGTATAGAATATGGGCAGGCCTTCATGTTGAGGAGGACAGCCGAGGAACCTCTAGGTCATGCAGCCGCCATAATGACCGATGTGCTCGAGACTGCCGAAACGAATCACGTGATTAACGCGTCTCAGATGCGAGTCCTTCTTCAAGAAATGGCATTAAGGCTGACTTAATGCTGTTTTTTATTGCACTAAATACCAATATATCATCTCCGTTTCTTTGTTTTTCTTTTCTTTTGGCAAAGCTTGTTGTCGAAGCGTGTGTTTGTATATGAATCTTGTCAAAAACATTAAATACTAAAGAAGCCCTTCAGATGTAAAAAAGGGTATAATTTTGGGAAAATACGGATTTTTAGGTGAAATGTGTACCCTATTCGTTTGCTCAATATGAGAGTTTGATCAATTCTACACATTCCATACATTGTAATGCATTCCTACAAGTATGATCTCATTTCCCCAAATTTTAAATCTTTCAACTTTTGGATAAATATTTATTTTGTAGGCCGAGTCATCACCTCCTTGGTCACAATCAATTCTGGCTCAAATCGATTTTAGTCAATTTTGCAGGCCGAATCAATTTTTTACATCCATGTGGGTATTCGGTTTGATTTAGTTTTTCAACCAAAATTAATCAAACTATACTTTGCGATTTTTTAAAAATTGAAATTGAATAATTTAAAAATGGTAGTTTTCAATTCGATTTAGTTCGGTTCGTTTTTTTTTTTTGTTTGATTGTTACTATTTTTCAAACTCAACATCCACACAAAGCAACCTTAAAGCTTAAACTGAGTGCAAATATACAATTTAAAATTTATTAAAAAAATATTATTAGTTTTAGGATTTTATTTATTTAAGTGTGTTTTATAATAAATTCAAAATGAATTTGTTTTGGATAGTTATTTTTTTAATTCAGTTTGATTTGGAATAAAAAAATTTCATATGAAAAAAACCAAAATCAAATCGAATTGTAAAATTATATTTTTAAATCGAACTATAACCAATTCGCAAAATAAAAAACTCAAACAAAACTGAACCATGTAGTTCTATTATGATCGATTTTTCGTTTTTTTCAGTTGCGTTACTTAATCCTGACCATTACTCCTTAAATTATAAGTTAAATGTTTTCTTGTTTATCAAGCAAGTCTATTTCTCTCTTTTTTTTTCAAATAAACCTAACATGTTATATGTGTGCATATTAGTTGTAATAGTGATTATAAGTCTAGGGATTGATCGGGGTGCGGTCGTACCCATAGAAATTTCGAATTCCTCTATAGTTTAAATATTTTCTTCTTATTTTCTATTGATAATCTAATCTTGTACCTCCTAGAATTTTATATTTTGCACCCCTAATATTTATAAACTTATCTCACGATCTAAATTAAAGATTTAGACTAAACTTGTGTAAAATTAGAAGTGAATTTAGGGTTAAATTGAATAAATAAAATATGAGAATCGAATTTATAAAGTAGTTTGACTGTTTTGAAAAGAGCATGAAAATGGGGGGATTATGAAATAGTTTCCCCGTTCAAACAATCAAATTAAAACTGCAACGTGGTTTTTTTTTCACCAAAAAAAAAGGAAAAAAACATTACCTATATTTTGCCCCGATTTTCTCTCAAATTTCTTCATTTTTTAAAGTTTTTTTTATTGTTTCATAAAAATTTAAATATCAAATAATCAAATCCTACTTTCTTTTTCGAGAATTAGCCTTGAGAACATCACAAAATCACCCCCATATTTCGATTTTCTTGATCTTTCTCATGGACTAACTTTCCTTGATTTTTCAATTTCAATCCGAGGAAGTTTGAAATTGAGGTAAGAAACTTGTTTCTTGATGTATTTTCAAGTTATTTGAAGCTTTAAAATTCCATTTTCATTCATATTTTCAAATATGTATGTTATCTTCAGCCTTAAGTTTACTTTAGTAGCTTCATGGTGAAATTTTGGTTTTATCAAATTTCTTTTATTTTAGAACTCCATAAATTATCTTCTATATTCAATAAGAGATTTATGACTCGATCTTAACTTATAATCATCATATTGATAATCAATTTTGAAAATTATTCTTTAATTATTCTTGACTTTAGGTTAGTATGAATCATAGCAATGTTAGCCCGAATCATAGCAATATCCATCTCTTTGTAGTAATCCTCAATGCCTCGGTTTCCCTGCTTAAGGTTTTTTAACTTATGTAATAAGTCACGATGGTAATGAATAGGTACAAACCTCTTGCAAAGGATTGCTTTCATTTCGTTCCAAGTGTTGATGGGGCGTTCTCTATTTTTTATCCTTGATTTAACCAATTGGTCCCACCATATCAAAGCATAGTCAACGAATTCCATTGCTGTCATCCCTACTTTCTTTTGCTCTGTGTAGTTATGACATCCAAAAACATGTTCTACCATGGTTCTTCTTCCCTTAGAACGGAGGAATAGTAGCACATATATTGTTGAGATTATCATCATATATGGGACGAACTCCTTGGGTTCTCCGAGATACTTGTGACACTTGATCTTCATCGTCCTCATGTTCTTCATTATCACGCCTTGGTTGTGGATGCCTTCTGGGTATGGCATTTGGAGTGTTTCCTCAGACTCTTAAATCCTATCTATCCTTTCATGAATGGGTTGAAGTTCAAGCCTCAATATTCTTTACATTTCATGCATGGTTACTTGAATATGAAGATCTGGAACATCAGCTTGTCTTTCATCATTTGAATGTCGAGACATGATTAGTAATTAAGAAAAGAAAGAATGTGTAAAATGACCTTACCCGATTTGCTCTCACAAATCTTCACAAGTTCACTCCAATGGAATCTTGAATGTCACACAATCACTCGTGTTTGCACTCTAAGACTTAAATGGCATTTGCACGTCCTCTTATGATCTCACTTCTCACACGCATTTTTTCACTGGATTCTCTTTATGCAAAGTTCTTTGCTGACTTACTCAAGACTTGCTCAAGTAGTCACTATGTGTGCGTCGCTGAAAGAAATGTTAGATATGGAAAAGCAAATAATAATGTAAATGTAGGCTTAGAAATAGAAAAAAAGAAGAAAGGGTTACTCACTGATTCAAGTACTTACAACCTCACAAATCACCACAATCAAGTTCTTCAAATACATTTGACTTTTGATGAAGAAGAATACTTGTTACCCTTGCTTTTGTAGTGCACTTATTTTTGTATCTTTTTTAAACTTCTTTTTGTTGATTTTTTTTATGTTGCACTTCTTTTCTTTTTCTTTTTGCTGGTCAGAGCTTCAATTCTTGTTGTTGTTGATGCTTCTTCCACCAATGCAAATAGAGACACTCGTGTTGTCACTATTGAGGTTAGTGTCACTAGCATGAACTAAACGACTTCAATGATTAAGAATATTATTATTATTTAAAATTTTGAGTTCGAACATCGCATATGCAGAGATATAAACGTTCATTATCAAATGGTTGAGAGTTAGTGTCATTGCTACTTTTAACCTTAATACAATTAAAATAAATTAATGATATTAATTTTAATATTGTTGGTGAGAATAAATTTGACTTTATCAGCTGTTGGCCATTCATCTTTCTAGTTGGGACGAAAAATTACAGACGGTGAAAGATTAATTGTCGACTAGTAATCTTCTGTTAAAGAACTGTGAAGATAATATAAGGAAAAAGATAACTTCACTATATAAGAATTTTGAGAGAATAAATCTCTCTTTTAGTTGAACCTGAGAGGTATTTATAATAACCATAATTGATTGTTGATGGTTTAGATAGATCTGATTATCAAATCTTAGATTTCACCATACTAGATTACATCGAGTTATCAAAAATCTTATCCATACACTATGATTGATTCAAAGACTTATGCCAAGAAGATACGAATTTCTTGACGATTGTTCCATTCTTAATTGAGAGAATGCCACAAAATGATTTGAATTAAGGCGTCTCTCCAAAGATGTTGAATGCAGTCGGTTTTGAGAAACCGCTACAATAATTGTTTGTTTTCTTTAATAAAAAAAGGGTTAAAATCATGAAAACTGCAATATTGTAAAGAATCCATACAAGAGAAGAAAAAAAATCTTCAAGAACATCTCATGTAAAAAAAAAGAAAGCAAAATCGTCAAGATATCATCCTTTTTAGCTTAACCACAGAAGTAACTTCATATTACCATTACAAGGCATTGAAGCCCCCTTCGTCATACATCCACCCTCTCGACGTCGAGTACAAGGGTCTTCGGTGGCTTCCCCAATAGATCAGTATACTCCTGGAAAGGAGACCTCGTGAATCGAGTCTCTTTCCAGAAATCAGGAGTCAAGAAACCACAAGTTTTCAGAAGACACTCGAAGGTGGCCTGCATTTACTTCCGCAAGAATAAGCCGAGCAGCTATCAAGCATGAAAGCATACTAGTTTTCCAATCAATTTACAAGCACTCAGCAGCAATATGCAATGATTAAAAGAAAATCAAAACGGGTTTGCCGGTCAATAAACGAGTCAAAAATCTACAAGCACATGTTTAGGGGAGTTTAACAAACATATAACATGATTTTGACCAAGCCAAGAAAACATTAAACAAACACAAGAGAAGCATAAATCACAAAACTTTCAAGCATCCCAAGTTTACAATCGTGGTTTGAAAATCTTAGCTCCGATTGTTCCTTCTTTTTAATTTTTTTTAAAAACATTATTAATTTCTCTATAATAACTTTTGAGTGGAAAAAAAATCCTAGCTTCGCTTCTTCCTTCTTTTTAATTTTTGGTTGGTATTCTTTATTAATATTATTTATCGATAGTCAGTGTTTTTTATTTTTATTTTTAATAACTTTGCTTATGATATATATATTTTTTTCTTTTGATACGCTTTCAATTTCTTTATTAATAGTTTAATTATTCTTTTTGTTTATTTTTTAAGGCTTGACTTGATTGACTACAATTGATTAATACAGTACTTGTTGTTTTATATTCTTTTATGTTTTAGACCATCGAATTTATTTTGGATACGAAGTTTACATTTTTTTAGTTTTTTGATGATTATTATCTCTGATTTATGTTTGTCGATGTTCTATTAGTAGTATGATCTCTTGTTGTAATTCGTTAGTCGATCAGTTAGATTTGTTTGTATCTATATTTTGTTCGATTTTTTTATATGTTTTTCACCATTTCCATGATCCTTGTATAATCTTAAATGACTTGTTTCTTTTACCAATGATTATAGAACATTAGAATGATATCCTCATTATGTGTTTAATTTACAATTATAGTTATAAATATTTATTATAATTTTAAATATTTTCTATAGTTATAAGAAATTAATATTTGTAATAATATTTTTCCTTATAATTAATACTAATTAAATTTATAATTTCTTTAAGAAAAAATAGTAGAAAAATTTAAAGAAGATGA